AAAAAAGAGAATCTCACTGCTGGACCAATTGGCGGCACCATGATAAATGGAGAGGAGATTGAGATTAGTAAAAAAAATGACTTGCTGGCATCCACAATCAACATTCTTGATATCAACAGACAGAAAATCAGATGATATATTGGATTAGTAAATTTGCTGTCAGGGAACTCTTTAGGATGCTGAGGAGCAAAAATGCCAGTCTGGAAACTAAGGTATGCCTGATCCAAGTTACTTGCTATGCATCAGACAACTGGACAACGAGTAAAGAAGTCAGAATAATTGATGCCTTTGAGTTGTCATGTTTGAGAAGAGTATAGAACATACCTTGGATTGTCAAGAGAAGAAATAGGTCTGTCCTGGAGAGGGTGAAACTAAGCTTCTCCTTGGAGGCAAGAATTTTGAGGCTCTGTCTCCCATACTTTTAGTATGTTGCCAGGAGGGACCAGTCTTTAAATAGGAACATTTTGCTTGGAAGAATAGGCAACAGCACAGGAGAGGAAGATTCTGGATAGGATGGATTAACACAGTAACTGGGATAATGAGGGTAGGTGTGTCAGAGGCTGTGAGACTGGTTCAGCATAGAGCAGGGTTCGGAACTATCGTACATAAGGTCTCTATGAATCAAGGTCAACTTGACAAAACAGCAATCATTAGAGGAACAGGCTAATACATCTTTCTCCTCTGGGGTGGCAGAATGTTTAAACACCAATCTTTGGTTGCAACCTAGTGTTTAACCCACTGCATATTCAAAATTCCTTGCCTGAAAGCAAACACAAAAAGTTTTTAATATATCCAATGTTTTAAAGGGATAATTCCTTTTTTTTTTTGTTTTTTGGTTTTCAAGATTAGTGTGTGCTTGGTTGTTTTGTGGTTGTTGTTGTTTGTTTTGTTTTGGGTTTGTTTGGTTTTTTTCTTTAAATGTAGGTGAATATAAAATTCTCACATTTCAGCAGGAGAAAGAATAGACTTATTTTCACAATAGATCTCTGCCCTAATTGCTGTATCAAAACTCAACATGATTATTACAAAGCTGAGCTCAGTGGCTGTTGACTTGGAGTAGATGAAAAGCTGGAACAGCAAGAAAACATGCTTCAGTCCCAAACTATAAAAGACTTTAAATGATTACTGTATCGTACTGGGGACATGTGGTAATTAAGGTCAGTTTCTAGCCTCCATGTGTAACTAGTAAATTATAAATCATGTACATATCCATTACCCTGAGTGGATAAATACACTTGAAAATTCATGAAAGATAAACCAACAATCAACAAAGTCCACTAATGCTGATGCTGACACATTATTTTCAAATGAATGCTGAAAAATTATGCAAAACCTATTATTATTATGAAGAATGGAGTTTGCTAGCGTAACTGAGTCCCTTTTTTCCTTTGTGCTTTCCTAATATAATCTGGTACTTCCTAGTAGTGAAGATAGAGGACTAAAAAAAATAAATAAAAAGCCAGCAAAAATGTGGTTAGAATACTTCAAGCAAAGCCTCAGTGTGATCTGTTTCTTCTTAAGTTCAAAGGGATTGTAGTATCCTCCTTAACTTTTCCACAAAAAAAGAGTCAGAATGGTGTGGTTGTGGGTTAGAGAGCAAAGGATTAGAGAAGATCTTTGTCTATCTGAAATAGCATATGCATTATCTTTTTGCACCATAGCACTACTACACTTATTTTTAATTGAAGCCTTTAAATAGCTCTTTGTAACTGAATTACCCTGTCTTTTAATAAAAGTTAGGTATTTTTAATCCATGGAAGTCATAACATTCTGTGCAATTTTGAGCTTTAATAATTTATATAAGATTCAAGTTGTAAGTCCGTATGAAAGCAATATTCAAGAATTTTTTGCCCAATAGAGTTGAACTAATTTCTACGCTTCCATATAAATGACATCTTCTAAAAAGCAATGTTTAAGTTTTCATATGAATAGCTGTGAAGTGATATTTTAATTGCTTTCATGTTTCTACTTGGTTTTGGTTGGTTTTCCCCTCCTCTTTTCTCCAAAGAATTCAGTACTGACAAAAAGATACCATTTTTGCACAATCTCACTGGTAAAAACATGGACACAAAAAAGGTCTATTCAGGCCATTTAATATATATTTAAATTTGTTATAGGCTGGGAAATAAAGTCTTTTACATTCAAGAAAATACATGTCTAATATGTGATAAATTATTCTACTTTCATCTAGTATATACATCTAATACATACATTTTAGTAGTTGTCATTGTTCTTAATTGTCATCAGAATCATGTTATGCATTTTACATTAATAGTCCTGTAATCTTAATGCAAGCAGCTTATAAGACCTCATTGATTCTTCACTTTCATGATGCTGCTGAGTGGATTTGAACTGACAAAAGGTTCGCAGTTGAGTATAAACTAATCAATGTCTTAAAATACATGTGTATGCACATATATGTCTGTGAATGTATTTTTTCATCACTGTTTAAAAATTATTGTTCTATTGGATGGCCAACAGGTACATGAAGAAAAGCTCAAAATCACTGGCAGTTAGAGAGATGCAAATAAAAATCACGATGAGATACCACCTCACTTCAGCAGCAGTGGCATAGTTCAACAGGATAGCAATTAATAAATTTTGAAGAGCATGTGGAGAGATAGAACTTTTATACATGTTGGTGGACCACTCTGGAAGGCAGTTTGATAAGTCCACAAATAGCTGAACACAGAAATTCCATATGACCCAGCTATTCCACTGGTTTGAATACACTCCAAGAAAAATAAGAACTGAGGCACAAACAGAAACTCGTACCCCAGTGTTCATAGCCGTGTTATTCACCATAGCAAGAACATGGAAACAGCCTAAATGTCCAATCACATTCGAATGTATTGAGAAATTATAGTACATTCACATGATGAAATGCAGCACATAGGAGCAATGATTTTGTAAATTACTACCTAACTTTGGAGGGACTGGAGAGCATTATGCTATCTAAACTATCTCAGTCCCATGAGTCCATACAGTATGACCATTATTGTAGATTGCTTAAGAGGATCCAAAGAGGAGAGGGTGGGAGCCACGGGGTGAGGATGGGTTAGGGGGTGCGGTGTGGTTAATCCTAGGGTCACAATTCGCTGGGTGGAAGGAGGACTGGGTAAAGGAAAAGGGAAAAATCTAGTGTGAAAACAACGTAAAGGAACTTTGTTAGTAACTGGTATAAAATAAAAATTTTATTTTAAATAAAAATAAACAAAATTATTGCTTTAATACATTTAAAGTCTTATCACTAAATACGTTATTTGTTTTGTTAATGTTGTGTACTACAGAGTCAGAACCAACTCATAGTTGACACTCCTGTGGGTTTTCACAGGCAGTTAATTGCACACAAAGATAATCCCTATCCTGCCCCTGCAAAAATATTGATAGTGATCGTATACATCCTTAAAAGTATGAAAACTTTTTTCTAAAATTATGCTTTTTGAAGACTCTATTTGATGATAGGTCTACAGAGAGTAATTTGCATCAGAGATTTTTATCTAATGAACTGATAAATTTTAAAATCTTTTAAAAATCAAAGGCAGCTGTACACAATGGTAATTACTTGCATTTTTTAAAGGACTAAAAGTAAACTTAAGCTATGTGATTTTAGAATGTTAATATGTTATGCAGAGTTATTTTGTTGAACATCTGCTTATTTTGGCATAGTAATATAGACATTTATTTTTATGACATTAACACTGGAAAAAGATGTTGTTTATGGTGTACACTATGCAAAGCAATGCAGAAATTAGTTATAACTAAATTTAAAGCTGTAAAATACATTTTGCTTCACATGTCCATTATCCACTTATTCAATAGCATCATTATTCAAGTAACTGATATTTAAATTGGATTAAAGATATTTGTTATCCTATACACCTGTCAAATACCCTTGATTCTCTTCATTACTCATTAAACCAGTTCATTGGTGAATACAAAACAGCGTTATAGTGAAATATATTCAGGCTAAAGGCTTTACAGTGTTAAATCATTAGAAAATATTTATAAAGGATAAATAAAGCAAAAATCCTTCATAAAAATAATCCTTCATATTTTTTAAAAATACTTTGTTTTTAAGAATGTTTTCTGTAGAAGTCTTTACTAAAGAGAAAAAAAACCCTATTAATAAGAAAAAATTTCACCACTATTTTTGAAAAAAGTATTTTAGAACTGCAAGCAATCTCTAGCCTCAAGTGAAAGAGATATCGAGAAAAATGAACTATGAGTTTTTATTTTTGAGCACATAATTTATCTCTAAAGATTATAATTTCAAATATCAACCTATTATCTACATCTGACTAAAGGTCTGGTGTAAGTAATTTACCTGTGATTCTGAAAATTCATACTTATTGAATATAAGGACAAAATATAAATAGTGAAAAATATCCCACTTTCTAAAAATTGATTTTTAAGCAGTTTCAAACATTTTAATATGCTCTAAATATAGAAATAAGCATAAATGTGTACAAGAGCCAAAGGGCACACATGCACCCACTCACCTCAAAAAACGGGTATTTTTTTAGATGTGTAATTATTTATTTTTTTTGTTTTATTTTTACTAAATTTTCCTGGTGGTCTCTTTAAATCAGTTTTACAATAAAATGCAGAATCGCATAACACATTTTTTAAAGTATTTTTATTAACACTGTTACTGATATCTAGAACACTTTTTAAATTTTATGATAAAATGGTTTTTAGTTATTATAGTATATTTTAAATCATTGTATGACATATTGCTAAAATAATTTAATAAAATTTATTTTCTCACGAGGAAGATATGAATAGTTATGAATAAGTGAATACTATTGCATCATTTCTGAGGCATATTTGATTTAGTGGTCAGGAGAACTATATGACCCCTTTATTAATTTTTAGTATAAATACACAAATACTACATATAAGTTAAGTAATAGAAAATATAAGCCAAATATCTTCAGTAGTTTGTCTGAAAATAGTAATTTGCACAGTATTATAATAAAATTCAAAGCAATATTTACCTTGGTAAACAAAATGGAACCCTCTGGCAGATGCACCACTTTTTGCACTAAATCTGAGCAGAATTTGATTAGATGTAGCCAAAGGTAGTGTTTCCCCTAGAGGTAAAAATAGACATGCTGCATGAACTCCATTCTAGTGGTTAATATAATAATATAATCATCAATTTTTAATTATACATTTACTATTTAAACTGTCATGAATACAATAGAGACAAGTTTATGAGCGGTTCCCAGGAGCTAAGACGAGTAAGCATGGGAGACCTGGCTTTAATATAGAAACACAGATTTTGTTTAGGGTGATAAAAAGTTTTGGATATAGTGATGAAGGTTACAAAACATTGCTAAGATAATAAATACTATTAAATTATTCACTTAAAAGTAATTAAAATGACAAATCTTTTGTTTGTACCTTGTTAGATGCCATCAAGTCAAATACGACTCATAGTGATTTTAAGAACAACAGAAATAAACCCTGTCCTGTCCTGAGCTATCCTCATCATTACTGACTTCAGCTCAATGAGACAGAAAATTGAAGTGAAAAAAACCAAAAAACACCCCAAACCCAAACTTTGGTATTTGGAACCACATATATTGTTTCAGTTAGGATTTTAAATCTTTTTCACTTGCTTGTACTTTCTATACATCTTAACCTCATATTTATAATATTGAATATAATTTCTCTCTATGTTAAAATAGATACATTTTCAAAAAGGCAATAAAAAAATAAAAAAAAATAGATACATTTTCTACATATTATAATAAAACCAATAAATTATTTGGCAAAGATGCAGAATCCTCTCCTCGCTGACCCTCCAGCAGGTTTTCTGAGATTGTAAACCACATGGAATGAGATTGCTCATCTGCCTCCCTACGAGTTGCTGTTGGATTTGAACTGTCAGAGAGGAGCCTGCCTGTGGGTTAGCAGCATAACTCCCTGGGGACTATGCCACAAGTGCTCCCCAGAATTATAATATTAATTTAACATTAATCTCTGAAGGAAGCTCTGATAGCAGTTATTATTAATTTACATTACAGGAAACAGAAGAATTAAATTAATTATTTACTCAGAATCACTTTAATTAACATAATTTTACCTGAAATAAATAATACTTATTAATTTAAAACTCATTAGAAAATTTGGAAAAGTCTTCAAAATACATATGTTAGTATTTTAAAGTACATTAACAACAAGACCAGTGGTTTCTCTTAAGTATAGCTAAGCAGAGTATGAATCTGATATTATATTTTAAATAGGCAGCAATCCTTTAAATGTCTATCTTCTCTTGTATTTCTAGGACTATATAAGGACAATCATAGAACTTAATAACACAAAAATTTTAAATCACTTAATTTATAAAAGTAAAAAATGGAAATAACTGCATCTGGTTGATTAACATCTATGATGAATTCTGATAATAGCAGTAGTTTTGATAAATGTTGAAAATCTAATGATATTATAAATAAAAAAGAGTTCAACATTGATAATTGTACTTTTAAAAATTATAATAATACAATAAATAAAAATAATAGATAAGGTAAGCAGTAAGAGGCTGATTTATTTTGCTTCATTAATACAAAAGAATACCCTTCAGGATTGAAAGTGGTGGTATTTGCTCCATATTCGTGTTTGTCTACTCATTTGAGAAAGACCACTAAATGTAATTTTAAGTAAAAGCATTTTGTTGTTCAGTCCTGTTGAATCAAGATTCACTCAAAGCTGACCCTCTAGTGGGCTTTTAGAGGCAGTATATCATACAGGAGTAAATCTTTCTTCTATAGAACAGTTGGTGGGTTTGAACCTCTTACCTTTAGATTGGCAGTGAAGTTTCTTACCATTAAGATATCAATAAAAGTATAGGATAAAAAAAATCACTTTTTTAGTAACAGCCGGTATTTTATAAAGTCTTATGTATGGTTACATGGATAAATACATGTATACATAAATAGGCCAGAGTGCATACTAACTATTTTATTTAAATAATGCATGAAATATATAGTTTGGCAAACACTATTTATGTGGATGTTATATGCTAATAATGGAGTATGTCTGCATATATACATAATAATATAAATGTTTATTAATAATGTTTATGTGTACTAAAACTTTATTGATTTATAACAAAATTATTGTAGTAATTTTATCTAGCAAAAAAGGAAAACAGAACAGAAAATAGAAACACAAGATGTGAATTATATATTTCATAACTTTATTAAATATAAAATGTTAAAATAAAACCTGTGATTTTGTACATGGAATACAATGACTTGAAATCTCATTTCTAAAACAAGTTCTTACTGAAAAATCTGAATATTTAATTTCTCATGCACTTAAAAAGAGAGTTTAATCAGTTAATCATACAAGTTATTTACATGATATTAAAGTAAAAAATCTTTGGAAGTTTACCTGAATGAGACCCAGAGAGTGAGCTGAGAAGTCTGGTCTGTGGATGAGTTCCATCAAAAAGCTCTGCCAAGTCATTCAGTGCTGTCTGAAAATATGCAAACTGTCCAAACACCACTGTAAAACAAAAAGAATGAGCTGGGACCAGATGCATTCTTTCAAAAATGAAATGGATATTTTAGTTCTATGATAATTCCCTAAAGGATTCCTTCAGGGACCCATTGATTCTCTGAAGAATTGCTATCCTAAGAGTCTATTAGAAAATAGACTGTTTTCTCTAATTTCTCAAAGTTTATAACAAAGAAAAACACTTTTTTTCCTTCTCTATTCTTTGTCACCATACTCAAGGCAGAAAGATTATTGCTTGCTATATACTTTGAACATTAAGACAAATGAGGATTATATTTTAAATATGCATTATGTCAGGATAGTAAATGAATAATAGTATTGATTTTATTCTATAATAACTAGTGACATTTTTAAAAATGTACATTAAGGAATGGGATGAGGCCTTCTATTGACCTCTAAAGTGTGGTAATTTGGTGAAGAATTTAAAATTTCTCTCCAACTGTTACCATAAAGCTGAATTTGTAGTGATACATTACAATGAATACAGAATTCAGCACTCAGTTATAGAAATTGTTGTTACTCTGAACAATTTGATTTCATGAATTATGTGAATTACACAAATATTTCTTCCAAATAAAACATAACTACATATTTTACTACTTTGAATTTAATGAGTACTATGTTTTTAAATTGAGCCTTTACAATATTTGGAAAATATACAGTATTTTGATTTGGTATCTTTTTTACAAGTTATGAGCAGATAACATCTTCTTTATAGA